GAGAGAGAGAGAGAGAGAGAGAGAGCGAGCGAATGACTCGCGTGAATCGAAACTGTGATGCGGCTCGCGATTAAGGATGCATATCGATGACGTAACTTTGGCGTGTCAACAGTGTTGTTTACGACGCACCGAATATTGTGATCGATCAATTTCTTGAATGATATTTAAAAATATAAAAAAAATATAAAAAAATTTTATATTAAACATTTTACATTAAAAGAATTATTATAAATAATATCGTAAAATTATATAGACTGTTTCTAGACGAATAATAGAATGAGAAAGAAGATAATTCCTATCTTTTTACGATGAAAGATAAATATAAAAATGTAGATTTTATAATGTAAGTTGGATAATTATTTTAAATATCAAATAGCCGTTCAAATATAGTCGGACATTTAAACATTTAGAATTATTTAAACATTTTCTTAATCACTTTTTATTGGAAAGAACCACGTTATGTAGATCAATTTAATAATATGACTTAAAATTGAAATTGTTCCATGTCCATGATCAAATTTTTTATTACGTAATTCTCTAAATAGTTAACGATATTATTTTAACATTATAATCTTGATTTATTTGCATGTTCGTTTAAATATGTTGGTCGAGAGCGTTTGGAAAAAAATATCATGGAAAATCGGGAAGAATCAGATTTGTTCGGAATTAAAAACTTCATTACAATTGCCACTCGCTATATTATGTATATTTTTTTCACGAGGAAAATCGTTCTCTTCTCTGGACATCGGACGCGTCTCGCAACATCGGCAGTGCCGCGATGCGTCGACGGCGTCGCGCCGCAGCTCCGGATGCACGCGGTAATTTTACCGCGTACGGCTCGCGTACGGAAAGTGGGCGAAAGATTTATGTCAATATACAAACACACATTATAACTGTGTTTACCAGCTTCGAGGCGCCTCGCGGCGCACTGCCGCGTGCGTGCGTGCGTGCGTATGCAAAACACACGGCGAGCGTCGCATCGCGATGCGGTGTACACAGTCGCGCACACACCGACGCGAACCGAACGTGCCTATGTACGTACGAGCGGGTGAGATTCTCCAATGTTTGCGATACCTCGATTCTCCCCAGCGATGAGCGATGAATTCGCGCAATCCTCCCGAGAATATACGACTCTCTCCCTCCCTCCCTCCCTCCCTCCCATCGTTCCTCTCCCTCCGAACGCGTATGTTGATATGAATGCGTAACGCGTGTGCGCGAGTTCGCGGTCGCAGTACGCGGCATGTTCGTTAACTTATGTAATTAACGGCGCGCACGCACATATGCCTACGTGTAGCTCTTGCGTCTACTTACCGTACGTAAATGGTAATCGGCAAGACCGAGAGAGGGATGTGTGCCGGGGCCAGCTGGAATATCCTGAATATCTTCGCAGCCGCTTTCTCTCCACCTTTGCTCTCCGCTCAGCCGCTCCCTCGACGAACGGAGAACGGCTTGTCGCCGGGAAAGCCGGGCTCTCATTACGCCAACAAAATTCTCACATTTTCCACTAAATGTTCCCCTTCGTGTTAATGAACGACTTATCTTCATATTTGCTGTCACCACGTGCGCGAGCCTCGGAGCTCTCTAGTTTGAGAGAGAGAGAGAGAGAGAGAGAGAGAGAGAGAGAGAGAGAGAGAGAGAGAGAGAGAGAGAGAGAGGAGAGAGAGAGAGAGAGAAGGGTGCGGAAGGCCAGAAAGGAAAGAAGTCACAAATCGTTCATTACCAATATTCAAACGTTATTTTAATACACGAATATTATCCAAATCACTCAAATCAAATTATCCGATTTATCCGAATTGTCCAAATTACTGGAATTATTCGAATAATCGTACCCGAATTATTCGGATATCTCAATTTCAAAGCTGAATTGCGTGGCGGGATTCGAAATCATCCTGGATATCTGTCGGATATCCCCTATATCTGGAATTCGGAATTTTTACAGTGCCTCAGTTGAAAAAACGCGTAGACACGCAACACCAAACACGACGGAACGAAGGCGCGCCTGAACAATTTCGGTGGCGCGACAAGGAGAAGACGGAGACACGACAGAGACATAGACAAAGTAGATGACACACCGTAACGCCGTATCGCTAGATGCGCTCGCCTTGACTCGTGGACCGCTTCTAGACCGATCCGATCCGTAGCCGATCGATAACGCATCCCGATCGGATTCTGCCAGAGAAAAGACGCGGACCGCTGTTGCGTTGGAGGGCCGACGCGAGGCGTAGCCCGCGCTATCGAGAGTCCTCTCATCTCGTTCATCCTACCGGTCGTTCAGAATCTCGGCGCAAATCAGCAGGATTAGCAGATGCAACGCGAAGTAGAGACGTACGGTGGAGTGTCCCGTGGACGCCAGGGCATAGGCGTAGGACGAATAGCATTCCCTGTGAGCGTAACATACATTCATGTATAAGACTTTCATAACGAATAAGAAAGAATAATAATAATAATTTGTCAAAATTATCTCTAGTAAATACTTTTTAAATTAGTTAATTTTTTACTATATATAATGTATATGAAAATGCACAATAGTTAATTTTATGTCTTTCCAATAATTGTCATTAGTCAAACATGCCATTAGTCTATTCTTTATAGATCAAAATGACGATAGCGATTAAAAAAAATAGAAAAAATATATAAAAAAAACGTTAACAGCCATTCTACGTATTTGCGAATGCACGCATTAACATCGAATACACGGTCGATAGCCGATCCGAATTTCTCCGCCGACCATTGCGAGAATCGGAAAATTTCCGTGGCCTCTGAAAATTCCGAGATAAACTGGCTGCCGAGCAAAAACATCGGCCATCGGGTATTTACGTTTCTGTTATCTTCTCGCGCGCAATATATCAAATTGAGGTCAACTCGAGAAAAAAAATAGAGGAGACATTTCTTATTCCATCAATAATATATTTCTCTCCGTCGCTGTTTTGCCCGATACATAATGCATGCTCCTCGCTTCGAGTGCACGTTAAAGGAGATTCGCGTGCGAAGTTTCTTTAAAAATCTGTCTGGCGCGTATGTTCCTATTATTTTTACAGGAGCAGTCAGTCGTAAGGTGTTACAACATTACTGGCTAATACGAAATTGCTTGCAACTTCGAAACATTACCGCGCTAAGCCATATCTCGCTGAGAATTCTCTGAAATCTTTGGATTCTTTGAGACTCTTCCAAGACTTTGCAAGATTACATGACGCTCTCAGGGAGCTTTCGCGATGCTTAATTTACGAAAACGTCTTGCCGTTTTGCGAATATTGAAAAGTGCAGTAATCCCTCTCTATTCGTCTTTCCATTTATCCATCTTCGTGTCGACATTTATCTAGCCCGTTATGTGTATTACTGACTTTTGTTCCACTTTGAAATTACAATCGAGACAACTCTTTTGGAATTGAACCTTTGTCTCCTCTGCTGCTTTAATATGTTAGACTTTTAACATACTTTAGAAAACGAAAGAGTATATTGATTTCGGATAGTATGATATACGGAAAAATCTATATATATATATATTAATTTTTCTTAATTTTTAAATTTGTACCAATAAACATTTTAAATTTCTAATAGATAATTCACAATTATCGTCTAATCTACTTTCTATTTAGGTTTAGTAAATCAAATTTAATAATGAAAAAGATTATTTCTTTAAACTACGTCGACATCAAATTAAAAGTTTTAATATTAAATATCTTCGAAAATTATTGACGATATTTACGGTATTCGGGATGTACAAAGGGAAGAGCTTTCATTACTGAAGCTTTTGGAATTTTCTTCACTTCTCTCCCGTAATAATATTATTATACTTAGATCGCGTGCGTAATGTGTGCGATGTGCTTTGCTGTAGAGCACTCTGATGTAATCGGTATTCGCTTCACGTATACGCAACCAATTAACGATGAACATCGAGAGCTTACTATACTCTCAATGGGATTCCAAGTTTCATGAGCATAGGCGTCATCTGGGTACTGATGGTACTCAGCTGCGTTTTCGAAATAACAGAAAGCGATTAAATTTGGCCACGATAAAGTTTTACGATAATTTACTATCAAAATATTAAATTTAATTGGCTGTTAAAATTAACCAAGATTGCATATATTGAATGAAGAAATGAAATCAAGATTGATTCCGAATTCACTTCCGAATTCACTTAAAAATGGAAGATCTTTCATAAATGAAGATTCTCAATAAACCTGTCAATTTTGTTACAAGGAAAATTTAATACTTTTACTACGTAAAATTAAGTTTATCGATGTCACGAATATACTTCGAATATGCAAATGGTGCAATTTTCTTGACATATGCTGCATAACCGTTCCAAATTTGAGATTTATTTGTCGTTTCAACGATAAATTAAATAAAATACATTCAACCTAGTTGCCATGCTCGCGAAATCGATCAAATGTGTTTTTTTCAACGCAAACAAGTTTTCATAAGAAACAAGAGAAAAATTAGACAGTCGACAAAAAGAAATTTTTCATAATTATCGAAGCTAGAAGAAGAATAAATATAAATATATATTTCAAAATAATACTAATAAGCTTTCAAAGAATTGATCATTTTCGCGAGTTGTTGAAGTTGTTGAAGGTGTGGCGTACTTGTAGGTCTCGGGATTGAGCCTTGTCACAGTGCAGTAATGATGCAGCGCACAGACTCCGTTGAGAGGTCCGCCGCAGCCCCAGATTTGCTCCACCTCGCGCGGCACCGAGACCGTGTTGGCCGCGTAATACCTGCGGAACATAGGACAGACACATACACGCACGCACGCATGCACACGCGCGCGAAACGTGCGCGGGATGCGCGAGGATGGATAATATACACAGGCCGGGACCGGGCTTGTGCATTAGGAGAAACGCGGGAGTGGCCGGGTATCAGGACTGTCATTAGCATCGTAATGGCGCGCGCGTCTCGAAAAGGGGTAGACAATTATCACGATGTCGCGGGCCAGAGTCAGATATTATATACCGAGATATATAATTGCGGCGGCTCAACATGGAGAAACGTGGAAATTATTAATTCTCGACCGTGAGCATATATATATATGTTGATATCTCACGCAATCATCGACGCTTAGCGTGTCGGCATTAACTCTCCCACCCCCCCTTCGAAATATTTCGTTTGGTATTTATGCGGAACGTGCTGTGTAATAATAATAGGCGATAGACGATAGCGAGACAAACACGATCGCCCGGTCAATTCCTTACTACGTAAGAATCGTGATTAGCGTTCGCGATACGAATTGTGGTATTTTTAGATGATCTATTTGCCTCGATGTCCATATTGTGTTCGTTGATTACTTAAGGGCAGAAAAAAATGTGCTGGAGGCACGAGACACGCGCGCGCGGCTTGAGCCGTAATCGAGGCCAGTAATTAGCGGGGGTACTGTTATGGGTTATGGTTTTAGGGCTATAACATTACGCGAATGGATCGATCGATCCATTTCAACGCACACACATACCTGACGAAGGCGTAATCGTTCGACTGAGTAAACCGGTCCGCCAGATCGTGAAGAGTGATCGCCGATATCTCCTGCAGCTCATAATAGTCGAGCAGCGAGTACTCGACTATCCAGTTCGCTTTGCCGATTGAATTCGCTTCAGGCAGATTAAGATAGTACTGCGTGTAATCCAGAATCTGCGCAACGTGCAACACATAGACATATATGTGGTCCT